AATATCTAGTGGAGTGGGAGGGGTACGGCCCGGAGGAACGGTGCTGGGTGCCGAGGAGAGACATTTTGGACCCGTCTCTCCTGACGGAATTCCATCGTGGGCACCCGATGCACCCTGCTCCGCGTCCTCCTGGTCGTCCCCGAGGCCGGAGTCGGCGCACGTCTGGAGCCGCGCGTCAAGGGGGGGGTACTGTCACGGTTTCGGCCGAGGCTGCCTCTCTTCCTTGCTCGGGCAGGCTTCGGCGTTCGTCGTCTCCGGAATACTAGCTGCCACCGTTGCATGTTTCTATGTTCGTTTGCTTTTGTCTGATTGTTGTTACACCTGTTATCGTTTAGTGTAATTAGTGTCCTATAAGTTCTCGTTGTGTTTGTCTAGTGTTGTGTGTGATTGTTCTACTGTCGTGCCGGTAGGCTGTATTTCCACTGTTAGCTCGGTTGAGCATTTTCTCCATTTGTTTGGAGTGTTTTGCGCACCTGTTTTGTGCGCCCGTTGTTATTCGCCTACGTGCGGAGTTTTGCCTCAGGGCATTTATTCGTGATTGTTTTGTTGTGCTCTACTAAAGTCTTTTGGACTAACGTTCTGCGTCCTGCGCCTGATTCCACCACCACACCCACCTACATCTACCTTGACAGTTAAACTCAAATATACAAATTGATTAAAAACCTTTTTGTTTTTGACAACATAAAAAAAAGGTATAATCTTCAGAAATGATATCATCGGTAGGACTGGTGGAGTTATGTCGCACATGCAGCTAACAAAAACATATGGAAATGTCTGCTCTACCCAAAATTACAACCAAATAATTGCAGCATTACCGCAAAAATGGAAGAGGAAAGTGGAAGGGGGAAAATGTAAGGAACTTGTCTGTTGGCCTTGCATTAAAGAACATTATTGGTTAAAGAAAACTGTGATAAATAACAAAGTATACCAGTTTCATTTAAGGACCAAAGGACAGCTGTCCCATATACATTGCAAAATAGTTGGGAAGAGATTTTTGACGAACCTATCCCATGGCATAGTGTTTATGAACTGATACGCAAAACGACGCAGGATTCAAAACTTAGAATTTTTAAATGTAAATTATTATATAAAATTCTTGCTACCAATAGAATGTTATTTATATGGGGGATACAATCTTCCCAGCTCTGCAGATTTTGCTGCGAAGAGACAGAATCATTAGATCATTTGTTTTGGTACTGTCCATTTGTAGCTTGTTTTTGGACACAGGTCCAGGAATGGCTAAAAGATTGCAATATTTACCTGGAGCTAACCCTGCAGATAGCATTACTGGGTGATCTGAAAAGTCATAGTCAATCGATCAATAATATAATTATACTTTGAGCAAAAATGTTTCTTTTCAATTTACAATCTGTAGAAACAATGAGAAAAGAAAGGTTCAGAACTTTTGTAAAACATCACAGTACAGTTGAAAAATATATGGCAAATAGAAATCCAATATGGATGGTGTTAAGAGATAGATGGGTATGTTGAATGGAGTTGATGGGACAACAACAACTAATAACAACAAGATAACTAATAATGTAAGCATACTGTGTCCATAATAAATATATAGGTTATAGGTTGAGAGCTTTTGTGAAAGAGCACAGTTAGAAAGATATGTCATATAGAAGCAAACCGGATGGACATCATGAAAATGATCGGAGAGGTTGAGGGTAGAGGAAGTTCAGGAGTAAAAACAAACAAAGTAGAATAATTGTGAGATTGGCTGTGTCCATGAAATGTATGTAGTATGTATAAGCTGGAAGTAGAGGCCTAAGCATTGTTGTTCACTAGTTTACTCCAATTAGGGAAGGGGTGGTGGGGTTGTAAAGTAATAAAGGGAAATATATATATTTTTTAAAGGAAATGTATATGTATGTGTATATATGTATGTATGTGTATGTATGTATGTGTATTTGCGAGAATTAAACAAAACATATGGGGGATTGGAAGTGATGCAGACAATTACATTGATGGAAGTTACAATCTATCTGCAATATTAAAGCTGATCTACCCCCTAAAAAAAAGAAAATAAAGAAATGCTATAAATGGAAGGAAAGTAGTGTCGAAACCTACCAAAAAACAATTAGGCAACAACAAATTCAATCCCTTTTAAACAACTTCCTGGACAAATCGTTCGACTGTAATAGTGAAGATGTAAACTTGGCAGTAGAAAACCTAAACAGTATATTTGACCTCTCAGCTTCCCTATCAAATCTAAAAAATCTCTAACAGAAAACCGAAGAAAAGTAACAACAGTGACAAATGGTTTGATGAAGAATGCAAAAACCTAAGAAAGAAATTGAGAAACCTATCCAACCAAAAACATAGAGACCCAGAAAACCTGAGCCTACGCCTTCACTATGGTAAAACAATACAGAAATACACTACGGAAAAATAAGGAACAGCATGTCAGAAAATTGGAAAACACTAAACAAACAACAACACAAAGAGCTATCTATCCAAAACAGAGATGTATGGGTAAACCACTTCTCCAATCTTTTGGGCCATATAACAAAGAACAAACAGCAAAAAAATACATGATCAAATGTAAATCTTATAATCAACTATTAAAGACTACCAGAACCCACTGAATTCTCCAATTACATTGAATGAACTACAGGACAAAATACAAACCCTCCAACCCAAAAAGGCCTGTGGTGTTGATGGTATCCTCAATTAAATTATAAAATATACAGACCACAAATTCCAATTGGCTATACTTAAACTTTAACATCATCCTTAGTTCTGGCATCTTCCCCAATATTTGGAACCAAGGACAGATCACCCCAATCCACAAAAGTGGAGACAATTTTGACCCCAATAACTACTGTGGGATATGCGTCAACAGCAACCTTGGGAAAATACTCTTCATTATCATTAACAACAGACTAGTTCATTTCCTCAGTGAAAACAATGTACTGAGCAAATGTCAAATTGGCTTTTTACCAAATTACCGTACGACAGACCACGTATTCACCCTGCACAACCTAATTGACAAACAAACAAACAAAACAAAACAAAGGCAAAGTCTTATCATGCTTTGTTGATTTCAAAAAAGCTTTTGACTCAATTTGGCATGAGGGTCTGCTATACAAATTGATGGAAAGTTGGGTTGGGGGAAAAACATACGACATTATAAAATCCATGTACACAAACAACAAGTGTGCGGTTAAAATTGGCAAAAAACACACACATTTCTTTCCACAGGGCCGTGGGGTAAGACAGGGATGCAGTTTAAGCCCCACCCTCTTCAACATATATATCAACGAATTGGCGAGGGCACTAGAACAGTCTGCAGCACCCGGCCTCACCCTACTAGAATCGGAAGTCAAATGTCTACAGTTTGCTGATGATCTGGTGCTTCTGTCACCAACCAAGGAGGGCCTACAGCAGCACCTAGATCTTCTGCACAGATTGTGTCAGACCTGGGCCCTGACAGTAAATCTCAGTAAGACAAAGATAATGGTGTTCCAAAAAAGGTCCAGTTGCCAGGACCACAAATCCAATTCCATCTAGACACCGTTGCCCTAGAGCCCACAAAAAACGATACATACCTCGGCCTAAACATCAGCGACACAGGTAACTTCCACAAAGCTGTGAACGATCTGAGAGACGAGGCAAGAAGGGCCTTCTATGCCATCAAAAGGAACATAAAATTCGACATACCAATTAGGATCTGGCTAAAAATACTTCAATCAGTTATAGAACCCATTGCCCTTTATGGTTGTGAGGTCTGGGGTCCACTCACCAACCAAGAATTCACAAAATGGGACAAACACCAAATTGAGACTCTGCATGCAGAATTCTGCAAAAATATCCTCAGTCTACAACGAAAAACACAAAATAATGCATGCAGAGCAGAATTAGGCCGATACCCGCTAATTATCAAAATCCAGAAAAGAGACGTTAAATTCTATAACCACTTAAAAGGAAGCGATTCCCAAACCTTCCATAACAAAGCCATCACCTACAGAGCGATGACTTGGAGAAGAGTCCCCTAAGTAAGCTGGTCCTGGGGCTCTGTTCACAAACACAAACAGACCCCACAGAGCCCCAGGACAACAACACAATTTGACCCAACCAAATCATGAGAAAACAAAAAGATAATTACTTGACATATTGGAAAGAATTAACAAAAAAACAGAGCAAACTAGAATGCTATTTGGCCCTAAACAGAGAGTACACAGTGGCAGAATACCTGACCACTGTGACTGACCCAAACTTCAGGAAAGCTTTGACTATGTACAGACTCAGTGAGCATAGCCTTGCTATTGAGAAAGGCCGCCGTAGGCAGACCTGGCTCTCAAGAGAAAGGCTATGTGCACACTGCCCACAAAATGAGGTGGAAACTGAGCTGCACTTCCTAACCTCCTTTCAAATGTATGACCATATTAGAGACACATATTTCCCTCAGAGTACAGAGATCCACAAAGAATTTGAAAACAAACCCAATTTTGATCAACTCCCTTATCTACTGGGTGAATAACCACAGTGTGCCATCACAGCAGCAATATTTGTGACCTGTTGCCACAAGAAAAGGGCAACCAGTGAAGAATAAACACCATTGCAAATACAACCCATATTTATGTTTATTTATTTTTCCCATTTGTACTTTCACTATTTGCACATTGGTACAACACTGTATATATACATAATATGACATTTGAAATGTCTTTATTCTTTTGGAACTTCTGAGTTCAATTTTTACTGTTAATATTTATTGTTTATTTCACTTTTGTTTACTATCTACTTCACTTGCTTTGGCAATGTTAACATATGTTGCACATGCCAATAAAGCCCTTAAATTGAATTGAATTGAGAGAGAGAGAGAGAGAGAGAGAGAGAGAGAGAGAGAGAGAGAGAGAGAGAGAGAGAGAGAGAAAGGCAGAGAGAGAGAGTGAAAGAAGCAGAGAAAGAGAAAGAGGCATCGAGAAAGAGGCAGAGAGAGAGAGGCAGAGAAAGAGAGTCCATACCTCAGAAGGAGTTATGCCGGACCACTCGTCAGCCGAGGCCTGGACCCTCATGATGGCGTTCTGAATTAGGTCAAACCCAGATCCGGTCACCACGATGGTCCTCCCACCACTGAAACAACATCACCGTCACAAAGGGGCAAAAGTTATGGTTTTAACCCACGGTGGGGCTCACATTCACATTTCACCTACAGAAGAGATATCACATTTAAGCTACCAACTGGTATCAGGAGAGGGAGCCAGGTGTGTTGGAAATTGAATGCCATTAAACTAGACTCTAGGGTACCCTTTCTTGTGTTCCGACAGATGGCATCATTATAACACGTCGCTTCTCAGTGCAGAAGGAGTTGACGTGCTATCTGATGTGAGACAATGTGGAAGCATCTAGAATAGCCTCTTGTCTCTGGTGGACTGGGACTCACCACACAAAGCTTCCCTTGGGTTTGTGGTCCAGGATAGTGGGGTTCTCCCAGAACTGGAAGGCTGTGGGGACGGCTGTGGTGGTGTTCTTCCCATACTTTACTGTCACCGTGAGCAGGTCTGAGGGGACCTTATCTGCCCGGTACTCTCCCATCCTGCAGGTGATGGCCGCACCAAACGTCTCCCTGCAGACAAGGACACAGTCAGCCAGCGACACAGACCGCTCAGCACTTGGGGTCAACCGGGGTCACGGTGCACAGGAGACTAACATGGCAGGACCATGACAGCTAGGTCAATACTGGGCTTTCTTATTAAAGAAAATCATGCCCATATTTGAATGCAACTCCCAAGCCTAACCTGCTTGCTAGTTCTGTATTCACTTTAGCTTATAGCACTTTTTCTTTTGCATGTTGTCATGCCAAAGAGTTGGCTGAAAGCGAACATATACAGATCTAGAGACCAGACAACCGCAACCCTCCTTGACACTGGTTCCCTTCCCAGGATGCAGCAGTACTTACACAGTGCACACCACCCCCCCAACGGTGATGGCGATGTCCTCCCTGGTGGCTGTGTCCAGGTTGGAGCCAGAGATTGTGATGACCGTCCCCCCGGCCTTGGAGCCGTTGGCGGGATGCACCGAGCTGGCGATGGGGTCCTGGAGGATCAGGTAGTAAAAAAAAACTAATCTTATTCCTGTCTCATCTCTTTCCCCACAAGGCTTTCAAAATACGCACACACCTACGCACACACCCACACACACACCCACACACATCGCATTTCCTTCAATTTGCTGAGTAAACAGTTAGGTGGAGCGGTCCCCTGTGGAGAAGCATTAGCCGTGCAAGATATAAAAAAGGCAGTGAAATTGCTCCAATGTACCCTGTTAAGGCACCAGAGGAAATGGAGTCGCCATATAGCACCTTGTTAAACTATAATACACACAAATCAATTTCATCTTATCGTACTGGGCATTTCCTGCCAGTGTAATGTGGCAGCACCAGAGTAGTTCATTCAACAGAACATTCATGTATTGTATTTGGATATTACACTTAAATGACATGCCCTTCATGCGTGCTGATAAGGAGCTCTGTAATACAGTGTCTGTATAGCTGTGAAATTGAATGGCGATAGCATAACCAAATCATGTAAAAGCATTTTCCACTTAACGAGTCCGCCCTCTCATCCTGAAGTGAAGGAGTGTGATTGAAGTGAAGGAGTGTGGTAGGTTTGTTACCCGGTATGTGAAGAAAGCAGATGACGTTCCTCTCTTCCCTCCCTCCACCTCCACCTCCACCTGGCCCCAGTTGGTGCTCAGGGGGTACAAGGGGCCGATCTCACACACCACGCTGGAAACCAGACATTTTAGATTTAATTTCAGATTTAAATCTACTGTTGAGTAGACCGCCTCCATCAATATAATAATAAATAATATGCCATTTAGCAGACGCTTTTATCCAAAGCGACTTACAGTCATGCGTGCATACATTTTTGTGTATGGGTGGTCCCGGGGATCGAACCCACTACCTTGGCGTTACAAGCGCCGTGCTCTACCAGCTGAGCTACAGAGGACCACATCAATGCCTAGTGTGAGAAGGGTACAGCGGTGACTGGGTTGACAGTGTATGTTACCTGGTGGAGACGGCATATTTGTTCTCCTGATGTATACAGGGGACCCCCACCACACTGATGGCCTTGATGTCCTCCTTGTGGATGCCCAGGTTGGAGCCCTTGATGGTGACAGAGATGCCCCCCCCCATGGGCCCGTAGCGAGGGATGATCTGGGAGGGGGATTAGAGAACAGATTTAAGATGACAGGCTTTTAGATTTGCAGTACCGTACAGCTTTTAGATTACAGTGTATAGAGTAGCTTACAGAGCAGCACCATGAAATAAGCCACAAACACATGCAGAATGTGACCCCACAGTCTGTGAAATTTAGAATATGATAATTGATGAGAGGTGATCCTTTTGAGTAAGGGCTTTTAATAGAAAATAACTAGACTGTGAACTGATCCAATTGTCAGTAGCTACTGGTAGATAAAATAAAGCAGTTGATGAAGTGATCATTAAAATGCCTAGTCAGTCAGTGATAATCAAAAGTCGATATTGTTGCAGGTTCAAAGATAAGTTATTAGTATAGAGTTAAGAGATGACTACTGTACTGTGGGGTGCTACTCACGTCAGTGATGTGTGGGTCAGGGCACTCTGTACCCTGGTCAATAGTACACAGCTTCTCATAGACGCATGACTTCCTCTTGGCACACCACACACACCTGTACTTAGGGTCAGTGTTCTTACACAGGCTGCAGTCCTCACGGCCCAGCGAGCAGCTATATAGGGTCACTGTGAAGGAAGAGAAGAGGGACGCCTTAGAATATCAGTACTATTCTGTCATTTCATTTACATGACACTGGATCATTGATAGTACAAGGTCTGATATGATGTTTGACCAATTCACTTAGATGACTGCAGAAAGTATGGCGTTAAATGTGTCAATCTATTAATTTATCACTTTGCCATATAAGGCTTCCCCAATTGTCATTGATGTCCACATGGTCCTTTGGGACATTGTCAACAGAGTTGCATATTAAAGATGCACCATTTACCATTCAGCGTGCTGTCTATTTTCTTGCCTGACTGTTTGTCCTTCACGTAGAACAGAACATTTGTCTCCTGTGACTTATCGAAGGAAAACTAGAAACAGGAAGAAAATGAATTATTAATACAGTTTGTGAAACAAGTGATTAATGACACTTCACATTTCCAAAACGTGCCAGATAAAAGTTCTAATTTTACAGATGCTCTTATCCAGAGCGACTTACAGGAGCAATTAGGGTTAAGTGCCTTGCTCAAGGGCACATTGACAGATGTTTCACCTAGTTGGCTCCGGGATTTGAACCAGCAACCTTTCAGTTACTGGTCCAACACTCTTAACCGCTAGGCTACCTGCCGCCCCACACACACTTTGGCAGCCATTCAAAAACAGCGGAATTAATCAATGTCTGAAAAGAATGTGGCTGGAGGCTGGTCCCTGACTCTCTGTAGTGTTTCTAAGATGTTTTCCAATCACACAAAATCCACAGTTTGAGGATGTAAAAATAACATTGGGATTGTTGTCCATGAGGGGGTGCTATAATGTCAAACTGACACAAACGAGGTAACGTAACCAAACAATACAATATCATCACCAAGCAAGATATTATCATTACACCTTTTAGGAGTGGTGAAAGCTACAATTGACAGGGGTGGAGCAATAAGCAGCACTGACATACGTTAAAACCGTTGAAGCTGTAGAAGAGCCCATCTTCAGACCTGACATCCTCCTCCATATTTCCCATCAACTCTGTGCCGATGGTGAAAGCCCGGTCCTAGAGAGGAAGCAGAGAAGCAGAGAGTTAACCAACTTCATACATGAGCAGTTATCAAGGGTTCATCTCAATGTTATTATAGTCTGATTCATCATTAACTAGCGCCCACTGTTATTTGAATTGTTTGATAACAGCTATAAAGCTATATAACAGCTATAAAATACATTATATTTTTTCCAGCACCTGGTAAACATCCAGGTTGATGCCCTCAAAGCAGATGGTGGTTTTGAACCCCACAGGAATGAGCACAGGATCAGGGTTCTCGAACTGGGGACATCTTGCCCCCTGAACACAGATGGAAATACTACATGTTAGAGCATTTGCATTTTTACCTTTAGTTATTCAGCAGACAAACTCTCATCCAGACTGATCATTTATCAGTTGGCATGCATCTGCTGACTTACAAACTGATATTCCATACAAAAGCACTCATGACTTTAATGACTCTTAGCATACATGCAATGTATATTAAGCCTGTTTAGTGGAGCACCTAGCTACCTGTCTGTGTTTGATGATTTGAGGGCCCAACACAGTGTCATCCTTGTCCTGGCAGGTGTGGTCCTGGGTGTTCCACTGGCAGCCCCATGGGCTGGTCACACACGACATACACCTGAGATACGCACATACAAGCGTACACACACACAAACACAGCAGGGAGGCAATCTCGTTTAAAAACATGTACATCCGTGCTAGTATTCCTGTAATAGTAGAACCTATATTGTTGATGGTAAAATATATCTCTGTAACCTGATAAACAAAGCCCATTTATCACATGCTTCCTCCAGATGAAAAACAGCACGGGAAGCAGCGAAAGAGAAAACACATATGTATGAGATCGACTTTCATTTTTCGATTAATGAAAAGGAAACTGAAGCAATTTCCTCCGGTTGGTAATAACAAAGGAGGAAAATGCAAGAGGTGCATTCAATCCCAGTATCAGTCATGCATCACACAGAATTTACACACAGAAACCTTTCTCTTATTTGTGCACATGCTGCTATTAATTTCCATCAAGGTTGTTGGCACAAAAACCCAGTGAGTCTAGTCAATGGGGGAGTACAGAGAGTGAGAGAGTACTGTATGGGAGATTACTGTGTTTCAATGGGAGAGTACAGTGCAGTTGGAGAGTACAGAGTACAGTAGGAGAGTACAGTCCAGAGAGTACAGTAGGAGAGAACAGTCCAGAGAGTACAGTCCAGAGAGTACAGTAGGAGAGTACTGTAGGAGAGTACAGTCCAGAGAGTACAGTAGGAGAGTACAGTAGGAGAGCACAGTCCAGAGAGTACAGTAGGAGAGTACAGTCTAGAGAGTACAGTCTGGAGAGTACAGTAGGAGAGTACAGTCCAGAGAGTACAGTCCAGAGAGTACAGTAGGAGAGTACAGTCCAGAGAGTACAGTCCAGAGAGTACAGTCCAGAGAGTAAAGTCCAGAGAGCACAGTCCAGAGAGTACAGTAGAAGAGTACAGTACAGTAGGAGAGCTAGTTAACTCACGGTGTGCTCTCTGCTTTCCTCACAGTGGCTGAACAGTTGTAGAAATTGAACTCCCTGGTGGCCAGCTCCACCGACTCGTTCACAAAGATCTTAATGGGCACCGCCACGAAATCTACGGGCACAGAGAGGAACAGGGTGAATGAGCGGCATTGTGATTGGTGAAGTTACAGGTTGCAGTGAATGTAACATATACAAAAAACAGTCTTCAAGGTCAATGAAACAAAGCAACAGAGTAGGGCCAGGAGTTTTTTTCTTGACCACCTGTCCTGACCAGGAACAACTCTGGGCCTTAAGAAGCTACAGCCTATAATTAGGGCTCAGAGTTTCTCTTGGTCAGGTCATGTAGTCAGGAACAACTCTGGGCCCTAAGAAGCTACAGCCTATAATTAGGGCTCAGAGTTTCTCTTGGTCAGGTCATGTAGTCAGGAATAGCTCCTGGCCCTACTACAGTGCCAGTGCAGGCTGAGGGTGATGTCCTACCCTGGTGTTCAGGTGTGGATGGTAAGGAGACAGGGTTGGGCAGGGCACAAGTGACCTGGCCAGACGACATGGTGGCGTCACTCATATAGGAGGGGAACACACAGCACAGACGGTCTGCCTGCCCGATGAAGGGGAGGGAGGGCACATTGATCTCCACCTGAGAGAGAGCGAGAGAGAGAGAGAGAGAGAGAGAGAGAGAGAGAGAGAGAGAGAGAGAGAGAGAGAGAGAGAGAGAGAGAGAGAGAGAGAGAGAGAGAGAAGGAGAGAGCGACAGAGAGCCATCGAGAGAGAGGAGACAGCGAGAGAGAGGAGAGAGCAAGAGAGAGAACGAGAAAGAGAAAGAAATAGAGAGAGAATGAGAGTCAGGAAGCAAGAAAAATAGAAAGAGAGAGAGAGATAATGAATGAGAGAGAAACAAAGAGATAGGGGAAGAGAGCAGAGTCAGAGGTGCTTTGAGCGCTAGCACATTCCTCAGTTTTAATAAGCCAGTTTTCAGTTTTCTGAGCAGGATCAATAGAGTGCATATTGTTTCAGAGCAGAGGGTCACTGATTCTTATTATTTCTTATCAAGGAAGGAGATTACTGCCAGTGTCAGGCCCAGTACAGTACACTACCTGCTTGGTCTTTTTGCAGCTGAGGTTGGGTGGGTGGAAGGACACGATCTTCACACACTGCTGCTTGGGGCTCCACAACCAGCTGTTCTTCTCCTCCGCTCTCCGGCAATCAGACCTCCTGGTACACCTGCAGAACACCAACACCCATCAGCCACTGCTCTCTGTCCAGTTTGTCTGCTGGTTACACATTCATTCCTGTCTCATAGTGACCACTGACCCTGAATAGCAGTAATTTCCTGTCATTAAAATACCTCACGTACTGATAACTGTACTGTAGAAATAACACAGTCAATAGCACAGCGCAGCTCTCCTTATATGGCTCTAACAAAAATACTCTGCTCTCTCAGTGCCAGAAATTAAGAAGTAAAGCAGAAACACTATGAAGGGCCCAGGTTTTTGAAACAGAGCAGATCAATCAAATCAGATCAAATGTTATTGGTCGCGTACACATATTTTGCAGATGTTATCGCAGGTGCAGTGAAATGCTTATGTTTCTAGCTCCAACAGTGCAGTAATACAAAACAATACAAAACAATACACACAAATACAAAAAATACAAAGAAAGGAATTAAGAAATATCAGAACGAGCAATGTCAATCTGGAATATAAATATACAGTATATATACAGTATGTATGATGGTGTGTATAGACAGTATAGGAATAGAAAAGGTGTGTACAGCAGTAGTTATATAGGATGAGCCATGACTAGAATACAGTATATAAATATGAAGTGGGTTAAACAGTATGTAAACATTATTAAAGTGACCAGTGTTCAATGACTCTATGTACATAGGGAAGCAGTCTCTAAGGTGCATGGATGAGTAACCGGGTGGTAGCTGAATAGGACAGTGACTATGTTCAGGGTAGGGTACTGGGCGGAGGCCGGCTAGTGGTGACTATTTAACAGTCTGATGGCCTAGAGATAGAAGCTGTTTTTAAGTCTCTCGGTTGCGGACGTTGCAATTGCTGTACCAGATACAGCCCGACAGGATGCTCTCAATACACATCTACACTCTGCTGATGATGGCAGGCCCTATCTAGCTCTGTTTAGAGGGGCATGGGTGTGAGAGATATGCTTATCTGGTTCCCTCCATAAAATGATTGGGAGTATGTATAGAGTGTGCGACTTTCTTTCTTTTTTTCTTACCTGCCCTCCAGAACACACCAGCCACAGTAGGGGTCCCTTGGCGACACACAGGACTGACAGTCGGTTTTCAGATGGCACGTCTGCACTGGCACCTTGGTGATCTACAGTCGGAAGTTTCCATACACTTAGGTTGGAGTCATTAAAACTTGTTTTTCAACCACTCCACAAATTTCTTTTAAACAAACTATAGTTTTGGCAAGTCGGTAAGGACATCTGATTTGTGCATGACACAAGTCATTTTTCCAACAATTGTTTACAGACAGATTATTTCACTTATAATTCACTGTATCACAATTCCAGTGGGTCAGAAGTTTACATACACTAAGTTGACTGTGCCTTTAAACAGCTTGGAAAATTCCAGAAAATGATGTCATGGCTTTAGAAGCTTCTGATAGGCTAATTGACATCATTTGAATCAATTGGAGGTGTACCTGTGGATGTATCTCAAGGCCTACCTTCAAACTCAGTGCCTCTTTGCTTGACATCATGGGAAAATCAAAAGAAATCAGCTAAGACCTCAGAATAAAAATTGTAGACCTCCACAAGTTTGGTTTATCCTTGGGAGCAATTTCCAAATGCCTGAAGGTACCACGTTCATCTATACAAACAATAGTACGCAAGTATAAACACCATAGGACCACGCAGCCGTCATACTGCTCAGGAAGAAGACGCGATCTGTCTCCTAGAGATGAGTGTACTTTGGTGCAAAAAGTGCAAATCAATCCCAGAACAACAGCAAAGGAACTTGTGAAGATGCTGGAGTCCTATATCAACATAACCTGAAAGGCCGCTGAGCAAGGAAGAAGCCACTGCTCCAAAACCGCCATAGAAAAGCCAGACTACGGTTTACAACTGCACATGGGGACAAAGATCGTACTTTTTGGAGAAATGTCCTCTGGTCTGATGAAACAGAAATAGACCTGTTTGGCCATAATGACCATCGTTATGTTAGGAGGAAAAAGGGGAAGGCTTGCAAGTCGAAGAACACCATCCCAATCGTGAAGCACGGGGGTGGCATCATCATGCTGTGGGGGTGCTTTGCTGCAACTGGTGCACTTCACAAAATAGATGGCATCATGAGGAAAGAAAATTATGTGGATATATTGAAGCAACATCTCAATACATCAGTCAGGAAGTTAAAGTTTGGTCGCAAATGGGTCTTCCAAATGGACAATGACCCCAAGCATACTTCCAAAGTTGTGGCAAAATGGCTTAAGGACAACAAAGTCAAGGTATTGGAGTGGCCATCACAAAGCCCTGACCTCAAACCTATAGACAATTTGTGGGTAAACTGAAAAAGCGTGTGCGAGCAAGGAGGCCTACAAACTTGACTCAGTTACACCAGCTCTGTCAGGAGGAATGGGCCAAAATTCACCCAACTTATTGTGGGAAGCTTGTGGAAGGCTACCTGAAACATTTGACCCAAGTTAAACAATTTAAAGGCAATGCTACCAAATACAAATTGAGTGTATGTAAACTTCTGACCCACTGGGAATGTGATGAAAGAAATAAAAGCTGAAATAAATAATTCTCTCTACAATTATTCTGACATTTCACATTCTTAAAATAAAGTGGTGATCCTAACTGACCTAAGACAGGGCATTTTTACTAGGATTAAATGTCAGGAATTGTGAAAAAATGAGTTTAAATGTATTTGGCTAAGGTGTATATAAACCTCCGACTTCAACTGTATAGTAGTAATGCACAGACACAGCCCACAACACAAACAGCATTACAGTGGGACTTTAGAGATACAAACATGTCAGGACTGGAGGTCTATCGGAACACTGAAATGTCTGTAATGTCGAAATTCACTTAAAAACTTGATGATCTATAGCAGCATGCAGTCAACAACACAAACACTAACAGCATTACTTCCTCTAGCTGTGGTTAACACACAGGGTATTTCCATTTCTCTCTCCACAGCAATAAAAACAATAACTGACAAACAGAAGTACTGTCTGGAGGTCTGTACCTTTTTCTCGGTGGTGATATACAGGTGGCTGTGGCTGGCATCGAAGAAGAGGTTTTTGTTGATGCGTTTCCCTGTGGTGTCCCCTGGTCCTCTGCTGTACACCTCTGGGTTGGCAGTCAGATGCACCTACCAGGCAGAACCAGACAAACAACTCTCAACACAGAACACTGAACACACGCTAGGCTCCTTCTCAACACACGCTAGGCTCCTTCTCAACACACGCTAGGCTCCTTCTCAACACACACTAGACTCCTTCTCAACACACGCTAGGCTCCTTCTCAACACACGCTAGGCTCCTTCTCAACACACGCTAGGCTCCTTCTCAACACACGCTAGACTCCATCTCAACACACGCTAGGCTCCTTCTCAACACACGCTAGGCTCATTCTCAACACATACTAGGCTCCTTCAATGGAGCACAACACAAACAACAACATATTCTGTCTATCAACAACTCCCTCTATCATAGCATCCTCTCCTAGCCCCTTACCTTGTACACTGCCCCTATCCCATTATCTTGTACACTTCCCCTAGCCCCTTACCTTCTACACTTCCCCTAGCCCCGTACCTTGTACACCTCCCACAACCACCCTCTCCTTACCTTGTACACCTTCCATAACCACCCTCTCCTTACCTTGTACACCTCCCACAACCACCCTCTCCTTACCTTGTACACCTCTCCCAGGCTGTTCCCCAGGAAGGCAATAGTGTGGTCATTCTCCACAGCGATGGCCACAGCGGTCAGCAGGCCCCTCCTGATGATGACCGCCTCCGCCTGCAGGGCAAACTCTGGCTTACTGGCCAGTGGAGAGGGAAGGAAGTCCGCCCCACACTTATAGTTGTTCAGCGTGTCTTTCTGCAGACGGAGAGCGATATAAGAGATAGGAGAACTACTAGATCCCTTAAACCAATCTATCAAGGGAAGGAGATGAGAGATATAGCTTGCAGGATCCCTTCAGACAAAAAAAAAAAAACTAGAAACAAAGGGCCTGAAAACCAAAGGTGTCATATCTTTGCATTATTGATTCAACATTCTTGGACATTCTTCTTTTAAAATCACTGACTCTCTTCTGTCTCTGACGTGTCCTTTGAAGTGGATGATAAAGGCTGAGCTACTTACGTTAATATGGGAGGTGCAGAACTCATCTGTCTTGTAGGAGTAGGGGATGTCCACAGCAGGGATGGCTGCGATCTTGCCCGAGTCACTGTAGCAGGCGCTGATGATGTCCACCAGCCTCTCGTTGATGGCGTTTAGAGGGTACATGCACAGAGCCGAGTTGGCGCCGTCGTCATCCGGGCTGGCCACCATGAACAGCACCTTGTGCCAGGCGAGGACCTTACCATACTGGCCCGACTCTGTCATTCCCCGGGCCAGCTCTTTACCTGGGGACGCCACATAGGCTGCCTGCACCTTGTTGTACCTGTTCCCTGGGCCACAGTTGAGCTGTAGCTCTGTGTAAGAGTAGTAGTGAGGGTCGTCCTCACAGAGTCGAGACACGAAGGTGAAGTTCTTGTTGTCGGTGCTTCCCATGGTCCTGGAGAACAGGAAGTAGACAAAGCCCTCCTCCTTGAAGGCGTGGCGGAAGTCGTGCAGGTACTTGGGCACAAAGGGTGTGGCCTGCACGGTGGATGCCTCGATGATGCTCTCGAATACCACCCAGTCGCGGTAGTCCTGGAGGATGCGCGTGCTGATGAGTTTGGAGCTGTCTAGGCTGCCGTAGCCCTTCCCCACCAGAAACACATTAAAGGTGTTGCCGTCTTTATTAACGTATGTAGACATGACGGCCACCACGGCTACCCCGTCCTCTATGCTAGCCACGTAAGTCCTCTCCCCCTTAGAGTCACTGTAGTACAGTTGCTGCTCCACGTTGGTCAGGTTGAGGAGGGAACAAATACCCCGGTAGCGGGAGCCGCAGACGATCAGTGAGCCGTTGGATGGGTGCACCAGCAGCAGCTTGTTGACATTAGGGCTGGGCTTGGTGTCCTGGCAGTACGGGGTGGAGACGGGCGGGGTGCAGGTGCGGGCGTCGTCCTTGGGACCCGTCACGGTGCGGGCCTCCTCGTGCAGCGCCTCGTCCAGCTGGTAGATGGTGTTGACGGCACCCAAGTAGACACGCCCGCTTTGGGGGTCCTGAACCACGTTGTTGATGGGAGTTATGGAGGAGAAGTCCAGGAGCGCCTCCTCCTGCAGCTGGCCACCGGCTGCAGACAGGCATAACAGGAGGAGACAGAGGAGAAGAAGAGCGGCCTGGACCCAGCTCGCCATCTCTTGAGAAGAGCGGAGAGACAGAGGAGAGGGTTAGGGGGGATGCACACCTGACGAAGACAATGTTGGTTGAAATGTTGTGATGGTATCACCTAAGACATCATGTGGGAGCAGCATAATAGTGAGTGGACATTCCCTTTTTCTCTATGTAGAGGTGTTTCATCATGACACAAAAACACTACAGGGAATACTACAGTAAAGTCCGCAAAAACACTACAGGGAATACTACAGTAAAGTCCGCAAAAACACTACAGGGAATACTACAGTAAAGTCTGCAAAAACACTACAGTGAATCGCTGAGAGATTTTTTTGTTGTTGCTGATCGTAACTTTTTTTTGTACATAATGTTTCCGCCATCGTTTCCTATTATCAAAAAGAGCTTCTGGACATCAGAACAGCGATCACTAACCTTGATTCGGATGAAGAATTCTACTTCAATGACTCGGACATACCAGGCTCTAATCCCCAACACTCGGAAGAGGAAAAGAGGGCAATATAGAAGCCGACATGGGGGCACCCTGATGAAACTACAGCGACGAGTACATAAACCGCCTCTACCCTCTGTTCTATTGGCGAATGTACAATCACTGGAGGACAAACTAGACAAGCTCAGTTCAAGACTATTCTATCAACGGGACCTGAAAAACTGTAATATCCTATGCTTCACGGAGTCGTGGCGGAACGAGGACATGGTTAATATAAATCTAGCTGGTTTTTCTATGCATCGGCAGGATAGAATGGCAGCATCTCGTAAACTCAAGGGCGGGGGCGTGTGTCTCTTTGTTAACAACAGCTTGTGCGCGATCTCTAATATTAAGGTGGTCTCGCGGTTCTGCTCACCTGAGTTAAAATACCTCATGAAAAGCTGTAGGCCATACTATTTACCAAGAGAGTTTTCATCTATATTTTTCGTAGCTGTCTATTTACCACCACAAACCGATGCTGGCACTAAGACCGCACTCAACAAGCTATATAGGGACATTAGCCAACAACAAAACACTCATCCAGAGGCGTCTTTCTCGTGGCCGGTGATTTTAATGCAGGAAAATTTAAAACTGTTTTACCTTATTTCTACCAGCATGTCACCTGTGCAAAGAAATCTACTCTAGGTGACACTTACTCCACACACAGAAACTCATACAAAGCTTTCCCTCACCCTCCATTTGGCGAATCTGACCATAACTATATCCTGCTGATTCCTGCTTATAAGCAAAAACTCAAACAGGAGGTACCAGTAACACGCTCAATTTGGATGTGGTCCGATGAAGCGGATGCTAAAATACAGGACTGTTTTGCTTGCACAGACTGGAATATGTTCCAGGATTCATTCGATGGCATTGAGGAGTTTACCACATCAGTCAATGGGTTCATTAATAACAGCATCGACGACGTCGTCCCCACAGTGACCGTACGTACTTATCCCAACCAGAAGCCATGGATTACAGGCAACATCCGCACTGAGCTGAAAGCTAGAGATGCCGCTTTGAAGGAGTGGGACACTAACCCGGACGCTAAATGCCTTTTATGCTCGCTTCGAGGCAAGCAACACTGAACCATTTGTGAGAGCACGCTGTTCAAGACGACTGTGTGATCACACTCTCCGTAGCCAATGTGAGTAAGACCTTTAAACAGGTTAACATTCACAAGGCCGCAGGGCCAGACGTGTTACCAGGAAGTGTACTCAGAGCATGCGCTGACCAGCTGGCAAGTGTCCTCATGGACATTTCCAACCTCTCCCTGACCCAGTCTGTAATACCTACATGTTTCAAGCAGACCACCATAGTCCCTGTGCCCAAGAACGCCAAGGTAACCTGTCTAAATGACTATCGCCCCATAGCACACACATCTCTAGCCACAACATTTTTTGAAAGGCTGGTCATGGCTAACGTCAACACCATCATTCCAGACACCCTGGACCCACTCCAATCCGCATACCACCCCAACAGATCCACAGATGACGCTATCTCTATTGCACTCCACACTGTGCTTTCCCACTTGGACAAAAGGAACACCTACGTGAGAATACTGTTCATTGACTACAGCTCAAAGTTCAACACCATAGTGCCCTCGAAGCTCTTCACTATGTGTCAAATAACATTTGATTTGATTTTATAGTATTTATACCATAGTATACTATAGTATTTGTTTCATGTGGGTAACCAAGTTTAACAAGGATGCTTTATTTTAAGATTTGATTGCATTGATGGATACACTTTACAGAGAAACTCCCAGGGCTGAATAGAATAAGGCCAATAACTACATCTCAAAGCCACACTTTGAAACTGAACAATGGCAGTCTGTCTACAGATCTTGGCAAACATTCACCATGTTCTTTCACTGCTCTTTTTAGCAAGAGGAAATACAATATGTTCAGTAAGCCGGTTGCTTTGTTTAGTGGGGGAATAAGATCACACAGCATCCTTTGATACACAAAAACAGCCACACACTTGCAAACAGCAGGAGGCAAAAGTCATCCTCCTCCCTCGCTGCTGATTGCTATGGTTAATGTTGAGCTGCAGGTGGCTGAATCTGCAATGGTCCACCTCTGTCAAATACGCACCTACATGCACACACACAAGCACACACACACACGATGCATCACCTACACTAGCATATGCACGCATAAGCATTTTACATACACAAAAACACATGTGCACACACACACCTAAACCTACAGCTACGCATGCATGCGCACACACACACACACACACACACACACACACAGATATGGTCCTGCTCATTTCACGTAGGCAGTTAAGTCCATAGCTACACTGGTCAAATTGAAAAGCCTGTGGAAGGATGGAGGGAGGGAGAGATGGAGAGAAGGAGGGAGGGAGGGAGGCAGCCTGTGCCTAGCTGCCTGTGAATCTGTGATTTATTATGTTAACCTGGCTTCCCTCAGAGCACTAAGTGGGGAGAGTACTGATTGCTCTCGAGGCCCAGTTAATTTCAACGCTTACTCCCATTTGCATTAAAGTGTCCGTCCTCTCCTAGTCCCGGATTTTATTTAGCTTTTTCATTTCACAACCTCATTCCTTTCAGAGCCCCATTTCTCTAGGTAAATGTATTTGCCATTTTTAATTCATCCTCATACAATTCCAATAAAATGTAAACTGTGTTATAAACTCGCCCCCTGTGCTTACTCCCACCAGGACTGTTTGGTTGGTCTTTACTCTTGTTATTATGAATAACGAGAAAATAGCAGGATGGTGTTTGGCTGAAAGTCACTCTGGTCTCTTAACACCTACAAACGTAGGTTGCATTTACACAGGCAGCCCAATTCTTATCTTTTGAACAATTTTTGGCAAAAGAGCTGAAAAAAAAGATCACAATTGGTCTGCTTGTGTAAACACAGCCATAGTTATTCAGAGACGTGTTCATGTAGCCTATTAGGCTAGTATTTACCTACTCTCCCATGAAATTATGAACCTTTTATAGGGTTACTTAAAACCTGGTATGCCAATGGCCCCTCTGGGTATCTCACTAAAGCCAATGAGCCAATGTAGCATAATGGGTAGTTGATGGGCTTTTCTGTAAAACAATTTAGTTTAGATGTGTTCATGATGTGTTCAGTGTGTAGATCCCAGACTGAGCCAGACTAATCAATCTTTTGGTTACTTTTGTTTTGTTCTTTTGTTTGGGATATTCTGCCTTTGTTTAGTCTAGAGTATAGACGACCCTGAGGTTGTATTATTGTGACCCTGCCATGACATTATAGTGATAATGACTCATATTTATAAAGAAGAGAGTATTCCATTTCCCATCTACTCATATTTCATGCACCAAGTCCATAATCCGCTGTCAGTCTAGTTATCCAAATTCCTGTTCAAATGTTCCACACAAAAAAAATATGGATTTTCAAAATGTCACTGGCTGCTTTCTCTAGCCTAGCGTACGTATAATGATTTAGGACCACTGACTTTGTACAGTGCATTATCAAACAGACTGTGTAAGCTTTCCCAAACTGAGATGTAGGCTACAATAGTTGGTAGAATTGTCAGGAAGTGATCGCTTGGGTGACAGAAAACTCAGCTCAACTTACTTCTATCATTTTAAAGACTCTCTTGCCTATTCATGCAAATCTCTCATTTACATTTTACATTTTAGTCATTTAGCAGACGCTCTTATACAGAGCGACTTACAGTTAGTTTATTCATCTTAAAATAGATAGGTGGGATTACCACATATCACAATCATAGTAAATACATTTTACCTCAAAGTAGCTATCAGCAAAGTCGGGGGGGGTGGTAAGGGCAAACATTTACATTTACATTTACGTCATTTAGCAGACGCTCTTATCCAGAGCGACTTACAAATTGGTGCATTCACCTTATAGCCAGTGGGATAACCACTTTACAATGTATTTTATTTTTGTATTTCTATTTGGGGTAAGGGGGGGGGGGTAGAAGGATTACTTTATCCTATCCCAGGTATTCCTTAAAGAGGTGGGGTTTCAAATGTCTCCGGAAGGTGTTGAGTGACTCCGCTGTCCTGGCGTCGTGAGGGAGCTTGTTCCTCCATTGGGGTGCCAGAGCAGCGAACAGTTTTGACTGGGCTGAGCGGGAACTATGCATCCGCAGAGGTAGGGGAGCCAGCAGGCCAGAGGTGGATGAACGCAATGTCCTCGTTTGGGTGTAGGGACTGATCAGAGCCTGAAGGTACGGAGGTGCCGTTCCCCTCACAGCTCCGTAGGCAAGCACCATGGTCTTGTAGCAGATGCGAGCTTCAACTGGAAGCCAGTGGAGTGTGCGGAGGAGCGGGGTGATGTGAGAGAACTTGGGAAGGTTGAACACCAGACGGGCTGCGGCATTCTGGATGAGTTGTAGGGGTTTAATGGCACAGGCAGGGAGCCCAGCCAACAGCGAGTTGCAGTAATCCAGACGGGAGATGACAAGTGCCTGGATTAGGACCTGTGCCGCTTCCTGTGTAAGGCAGGGTCGTACTCTCCGAATGTTGTAGAGCATGAACCTACAGGATCGGGTCACCGCCTTGATGTTAGC